AAGTCCAAAGGGTGGGCAGATGTGTCAAAGCCCAGCACAGAGGGAAAGGTGGCATAATACCACTAGACAAGATGGAGAGAGGTGGACTGCCTCTTGAGGAAGAAAGTGGATAGACTGGTTTTCAATACAAAGGGCCTTTGCATTGGCCTACTCTGAAGGGCAAGCGAGGAACGGTATTAATGAGAGGAAATAAATCATAACTTCTTCTAATTCTGCCTTTTGCACTTCGTTTTTTAAGTTGTACAATCTTCAGAATTGGAAACGGCCTAATTATTTAAGCTTACCTGCCATCTTAATCCTTCCATACAAAATGTCTGTCACATACACGTTGGGCACAGCCTCTCTGCAGGGCATATGCTGGGTCAGGAAACAGTGGCTGGGGGGGGGCGGGCGGGCCGCGCCCGCCACTCACTAAACTTAGCGACAGAGACCTGCTCATCAGCTGCATGAGATGGCTGGACTCAGATGGGCTGGCCCAACTTGGCCACTATTCCTGGAAGATTAAAAATTATCCCTTTATTTTGGGAACCAGCAGTTAGTGTAATGGTTATGTCGCTGGACTCCCACATAGTCGACCGCGGTTCGCGTCCCAGACCCGGTGGCTTAGAACTCATGCCGGGCGCCTGTGCGTGTGTGCCCAAGATCCTGAGAGGAGAATGGAGAAGGGATTGCGGCATGACCATCCCCCTGCGGGGGGTGATTTCTCGCTTTCTGTCTCTATGTCTCTCTCTGTCTGGCTGGCGAGTGCATACGCCCTATGGCAAAAACCTCTCCAAAAAAAAAAGTGAAAAAAAAATAATCCCTTTATTTCAAAATCTGCCTATAGAGTAACTTCCATTCTTCTGAAACTCTGTTAAACACAAGTCTGCACTTCGGGGATTTGAAAATAGTTATTGCATTACTTCACCAATCCTCTTTTTTGGTTTCTTCATCTTATTTGACAGAGTTCATTGACATTTCACCTGTGAATGCAGTTTGTCAGTATCCCTCATAAAAGCACAGTCGGTACTAGAACAGGGTGTCATGTTCCACTTACTGTCTGGCCACCAGTGAATTGTGAAGCTCTTACCTCACTTGAATTAGTTCATTTGCAATTTGTAAAGTAGCTAATTCTGTTTTGTTTTTTCTTCTCATTAAATAGCCTTCTTCCTTAAATAATCAGCTCGTATCTGTGGACTGCAAGAAAGGAACCAGAGTCCAGGTAGAAAGTTCACAGAGAATGCTAAGAATTGCTGAACCAGACGCAAGATTCAGTGGCTTCTACAGCATGCAAAAACAGAACCATCTACAAGCAGATAATTTCTACCAAACCGTGTGAAGAAAGGCCGCTCGGATGAGGTTTTAAAAGACAGAAAACGACTAAGTCTGCTCTTAAAAGTAAACTAGAATTGTGCACTTGCTTGGTGGATTGTATTGGATTGTGACTTGATGTACAGCGCTAAGAACTTCCTGGGATGGGCTCTGTCTACAGCAATGTGCAGAACAAACATTCCCACTTTTCCTCAAGATAACTGACCAAGTGTTTTCTTAGAACCAAAGTTTTTAAAGTTGCTAAGATATATTTGCTTGTAATATAGTTGTAGAGATATCTGGGGGTAGGGACAGTGAGTTTGGTTGGGGAAAAGGGTGGGAGGGTGGCATTGGGAAGAAAAATTGGTCAGCTTGGCTTGGGGAAGACATCCAGTAAAATAAAAGCAGTTCAATGGCCCAGAGAATATTTTTTCCTGTTGCTCTAAGGACTGCACTAGTTGCTGCAAAGCTCAGGCCTGAATGTGCAGGAAACAACAACAAAAAAGGCCTTGCCATTCAGCTACCATAAACACCTTAGGACTGCCAGATGAGCGCATTAAAACCTCTTGATAGCCATCCCAGGTCTAAAGCCACAAGTTTCTTTTCTATACAGTCACAGCTGCAGTAGGCAGTAAGAAAGCAAGGGAAATGCCAAGGCCACGTTTCTCTAAAGCGGGTTGTTAAGGATATATACAGTTTTACTTTTTTGCTGCTTTTGTTTTCTTCCAAGCCAATCAGCCAGGTCCTAGCAGAGTCCGCAAATGAACAAGATCTGCATTTCTTGATGTGAGCACTGGAGCTTCTCTTACACCAGGAAGGAGGGGAGCGGGTGAAGGACACCAGGCGTTTCCAGGGGCTATACTTCATTGTTTGTTGTCGCTTTGTTCCGTTCTATTGTTGGTTGTTCATAGTTTTGTTGAAGCTCTGGCTTAAGGAGAAACTTAAAAAAAAAGAAAAAAAAAAAAAAAAAGACTGCTTGGGGATTTTTTTTTCCTTATTATATACTGATTCTACAAAATAGAAACTTCATTTTAATTGTATATTATTCAAGCACCTTTGTTGAAACTCAAAAAATTATGCCTCTCTAAACTTTAGCAATTATAGGAATATTTATGTAACTAGCTTATGCTTCAAAAAAAACGAAAGTATTTGTGCATGTGTATATAATATATATACATATATATTTATACACATACAATTTATGTTTTCCTGTTGAATGTATTTTTATGAGATTTTAACCAGAACAAAGGCAGATAAAAAGGCATTCCACAGCAATGCTTTTGATTACTTACAAATTTTTTGAATAACACAGAATCTCATTCTACCTGTAGTTTAATTGGAAAGGAAGATTGTGTGTGTGTGTGTGTGTGTGTGTGTGTGTGTGTACGTGTGTGTGCACCTTGAGCAGTCAGCATCACACCTGCTGTGGAGAGTATTTCTTTATTAAAAGCTCTTCCTCGTCTGGATTTGCTTTCAGTTTTCAATTCACTCACCGGCCAGAGACATTGATGGCAGTTTCTATCTGCATCACTAATCAGCTCCTGGGTTTTTGTTTTTGTTTTTGTTTTTTTCCTCAAACAAACTGTTTGAAACAACTACTGGAATATTGTCCACGATAAGCTGGAAGTTTGTTGTAGTTTGCCTCAAATATAACTGACTGTATACTATAGTGTTAACTTTTCAAACAGCTCTTAGCACTTTTATACTAATTACCCATTTGTGCATCAAGTTTTCTTTTAAAAATGCTTGTTATGAAAGACACAGATACCCAGTATGCTTAATGTGAAAAGAAAATGTGTTCTGTTTTGTAAAGGAACTTTCAAGTATTGTTGTAAATACTTGGACAGAGGTTGCTGAACTTTAAAAAAAATTAATTTATTATTATAATGACCTAATTTATTAATCTGAAGATTAACCATTTTTTTTTGTCTTAGAATATCAAAAGAAAAAGAAAAAGGTGTTCTAGCTGTTTGCATCAAAGGAAAAAGATTTATTATCAAGGGGCAATATTTTTATCTGTTTCCAAAATAAATTTGTTAATGATACAATGTTACCAAAATAGATTTGCATTGGCCTGATTAGTATAAAATTTTGTTGACAATTAATCCATTCCTGGCATAAAAAGCCTATCAAAAAAAATTGTAAATGCTTGCTTTTTGTTTTTTTTCAATCATGGCCATATTATGAAAATACTAACAGGATGTAGGACAAGGTGTAAATTTTTTTGTTGTTATTTTAAAGATATGATTTATCCTGAGTGCTGTATCTATTACTCTTTTTACTTTGGTTCCTGTTGTGCTCTTGTAAAAGAAAAACAAATATAATTTCCTGAAGAATAAAATAGATATATGGCACTTGGAGTGCACCGTAGTTCCACAGTTTGTTTTTGTTTTCTAACAACAACAACAAAAAGCTGTAAAAGAATTATGTGCAACTTGATTCTGGGCAGCAAATAAACATTCAGTACCTAGGATTAGAAAGAAAATTTTCTGTTTCCAGGTTGTCCGTCTGAGGCCACCTGGCAACACAAGATATCCCGAGACCTCTGTCAGCAGGCAGGCCTTTCCCAAGGAACCATTGCGACGGGAAGCCCCCCAAGAGTCCAGAGCAGAGGGGTGCTGCTGTTCTTAGGGAGAAAGGGACCTACCTGCCATCGGCCATGGGTCGTAAACATGCTCACGATTAGTGTCCAGACTAACTCATCATGCACAGGAGGTTATGCTGAGAAATCCGACAGCTGTATACTGCCGAAGAAGACAGGAACTTTGAGTTCAGGCACGCATGCACACGCTTCCAAAGCAGCAACTTAAAAACAAGCTGTAAGTAGACCCCTGCGGAATCACTTCAACCACGAATCCCTCAAAGACTCTGTCATATCTTATACCCTTCAAAGCTGCATTTCTTTACAAGTTCAGATCTAATTAAATTATTAATAATATTATTGTGTGGGGCCAGCAGGTAGCATGATGGTTAAGGTGCTAGACTTCAAGTGGCCAAGCAATTTGGTCCTGGACCCAGTGGCTTGAAAATCACACCAGGCACATGTGTATACACAGGCCCAAAATCCCGAGAGAAGACAGGATCGCGATATGGCCATCCCCCCAATTTCTCACCTTCTCTGTATCTCTCTCTGTCTCCAGCATGCTCACGTGCTCTATGGCAAAAGCCTAAACAAAATTGTATTTCTATATTACTATGTAAGTAGGCATCTTCACCAGCTTGAGGGGTGGGGGCAAATAAGTTCCACATATTCACTATCAGATAAGACGTGATAAAACGAGTCAACTTCAAGGTCACATACCTTAAGTCTATGGCTGAAATGCTCCACTGGCACCAAACAACCCGAGTTACTGCCTTTGCCATCAGGGTTGCTCCGTTTCTGAGTGGAGTGAGCACTAGATGCTTTCGGTGGACATTTTAGAACCCTCTGATGACAGGTCCCATACATACTTGGTACCGCATGGTATAAGGGACGGAACCGTCTCACGGGCCCAGAGAGAGCAGCATTTTGCCATTCCACAGCAGCTCAGCACCGTCTAGAAAAGCCATCTCTCCCCTCCTCGGCATCCCGAGGCTCATGAGTCTCACCAGCTCGTGGCCTATCGTGATGTACTCTGCAGGGAATCAGAGGAACAAACCTCGCACTGCACGTGCAGAAAGAACAGAAAATACAACTGAAAAGAAAAAAGCTCTTAGGCATCTTTTTTTTTTAAACATTTATTAAATGCCACTGACTTGCAATCAGTCGAAGTGCTCGTGAGTAGCGGTGTATCTGAGTAGCTGCTTCTAGGATTAGCACTTGAGGAAAACAGGCATGAACAGGACACGACACAGGCGTGGGGAGTGGGCAGTGCTGTGGTATACATTTTCTTCAGCACCTTCCAGGACACAAACGCTTTGAAAGTACACTTTTCCACAGACACACGAAACAAAACACGGAGACCCCTAAACAGTACAAAGTTCGGAAAGTGAATGGCAACTTCCTGGTTAAAATCTGAACATGATGAAAGCAGCAAACTACCATCAGCCATCTCCAACAGTTTCGATGTTCACTTAGCATTAGGCCATAGTAATGCAGATTCCGGTTTTGAGTCTTCAAGAACAGCCCACGTTTGTTAAGTTGCAGTGTCTGCACAATACTGGTAGGTAATACACTGATACTTATTCTGAAAAAGGTCAGTGCCGGTTCTTGCTATCACTGAAGAACAGCTACAGGATAACGGTCCCAATGCTTTCATCTACTTCTTCAGTGCAGATGTAGAAAGCCATAAACACACAAATGGGCATACTGTCAGCTCGTGAAAAACATAACTGTGCACGATCATTACTCTCCCTCACTGTACTAAGTTAGAGAACAGTTCCTAATTTCAGCTTTCACAAAAACCACCTCCAGAAGGCAGGAGAGTACCTCTTCATTCTATAACGGGAAGAATTAGTGAAGTCATGATCTATTAATACTGAGTCACAAACCCAAGTTCATGTGGGCTGAGTTTCGAACAGCAGAAGGTAGTGGCCGCCAGCTTTCAGAATAATGCTACAGGAAACCGGGCGCACAGTCCACAGGAGAGGTGGGTCCTCCCAGAGTAACGCTGCTCTATGTAGGACACAGAACTGGAGGGGGAGAGAGGGAACTGTGAGGCAGCAACATCTCTCTTGCACACATTGACACAAAAGGTATAGATACATCTATTTTATATACATTTCACATGTATATAAAAGACACTACTAAGTAATGAAAACTAAATGTTAATTAATGCAAGGATCTAGACTATTTTTTTCAAATTTCAAGAGGCTACATCCAACTATGAAAAGTTCTCTCAGGACACATTTATCAGAATTTCCCAGAAATGAGACATCAAAAGGCCATGCCTCTTAGGGGGGTGCGAGGAGATAACGAGCCCGTGACATGAGCCCTATGCCACGAGGTGCACAGCATGGCAAACAGACTGCCTGTCGAAGTCAAAGAAGAACATGGGTTTCTCCACTCACTCTCCTTCCTGTCATGGGTGCAGCATTGCTGAGGGCAAGGGGGCAGAGGCTGCAGAGAATTCGCAGGAGTGAGGAAGGGAAGCTCAATCAGCCTAGAGAGCGTCCATCCTAACCTCAGGCCAAACGAGGCCACCATCTACCTGCTTTCACTTCTGACCTTTGCATTAAACTAAGATGGCGTATTCGGCAGCCAAGCCGCAATCGTCTGGATTAAAACAAGGACAGGCCCAGCCAGAAAAGGGGAAGGCGAGTTCTCCCCTTAAGCAATACCCACCCCCTCTCAGGCAGAATATAGGACTGGTCCCCTAGGAAGAGGAACAGTTAACCAGCTGTGGACTTCCAGAATGGGTGGAAAAGAGCATGTTTAATTACCCCCACATCAGCACCTTCCCGCACACCTCCTCGCACCCCCCTCAATTTCTCAGACTAGTGTCGCTGCTGGAGTCCGAAACCTGGCTTCTTTTCCACCCAGTCCTCAGAATATGAAGCCAAGACAGAAGTCACGACACGTGCACACAAGCAGCTCATCGGAAGCAGGTGCGGGGGAGAACTGGGCTTACAGACGGGAGCCAGCGGCCGAGCGTGAGGAGCGGAGTTACATGGCTGCTGCTTCCCTAAGGCATGCTGCAGGGGAGGGTCACAATGACAGGCCTAGGTTCTCAGAGTAAAGGATGAGAGAGCATTTCCCCCCAGAGCACTCGGTTCTCTGGGTCCCGACGTCCTTCCACACAGACGCTAAAGTAGCTACAGGACGCCTAGGAGCTCGTTCTATCTTGGCCCTGGGGACCCACTGTGATTAAAAATTCAGACATGTTCTTTGTGTTCGTCTCATTCCTGTTTCACATCTAGAAGAACAAACCTCAGAACAATCCAGCTTTTATACCAATGCTAGCACAACACAAAAGCAAATAAAAGAGATCAGGTATTAACCCCCCAAATCAGGAATTAATAGAAAAAGCCCCCTACCAGAAAAGCCCAGCATATTAAAAAATGTCAACTTGTTTTTCTACCCTTGTGTTAACCCATGAATGGTCGGCCCAGGTGTTTATATCCATGCCACATCTCTTACAAGTGGTCCTCACAGGTTCTTCACCCGAGCCCCTGAGCTGGCCTTTGTAGGAAACTATAGTTGAAGACATGTCCCAGCTGGGATATTTAATGTCTGAGAAATCCTAACTCAGCGAGCTGATAAAGAATCCAGAGGAGAAAAAATGTTACAGGAGGATCCTCCTCTGAACACGTGACCAATTACTACAAGATGCATCTAGTGATGCTCTGAGAATCCGTCACCTAAATTAACTGCTACTTTTTAGAAATAATTTCACTGGAAAATATTCTGCCTAAAATGAAATGAGTTTCTCAGAATTTTTATCCAAAGTTTGCTCTTTCCTCGGTAAAGTACGTGATCTTAACTTCATCTGTTCTGGCCTCATCGGGACTCCCATGTGACCTGATCATGCTCCAAAGATTCACAGCCCCTTTGTTCCAGTCCTGGGTTGCTGAAGGTGCATTCTCTTTCTCCCCGCTCCCCACACCAACTCCTTTTATATTCCCTTTGGCCCTGCTGACTCATTTGACTGTTTTCTCATTCGGCCAACCTCGCTAATGATCTGTCTTTCCTTTTCTACTGTCCCCACAATGACAGAGAGCACCCTCCCAGCCTCCCAGTGTCAAGGTATCACCCCCGAGGACCACATAAGGATGGCAATATCTTATTCCTCGACTGCTCCTTCGGTGTTTATAATTTAGCCCTGAAAATTATAAATTGAGGTCCAGCCAAGGACCTCAAAGACAAGTTAAATTTTAATATAAACTATAATCCTGGTGGCAAAAAGCAGTTACATATTTATTTACTCTGCACACTAAGATTAATAAAAGTTGTGATTTTGGAAGCTACTTTTTAATCTACCAGCTAGACGATACATTCACTGATTAATCAGAACTTCCCAATCATGGCACATATACCACTATAAACTCACCTTTCAGTATATAATCAGTTAACAAGCTGGGGACCTTCTCACTGTCCTCCTTCATGGCACGAAGAACTACAAAATAAAAGTGAAAAGCAAGAAGACAATTAGGGTCGCAAATAATATCTGAGTCATGATAACCTTAATACATGCTATAACGGAGTCATACAAACTACAAATTATTCTCTAGATAAAGGAATATGACAATAAAGGCTGGATAATTTATTTGAGTTGAGTAGATCTTATTCGGGTAAGACTATTCCACTTACCCGAGAGTTATTTAGTGAATTTTAAAATTCCAAATACTGAAGGCAGCAGAAAAGAGGACTTGGGTTATTGACATAGTCTCTCCATTCTATTGTGAATAAGTACTGGGGGGAGGGGGGGCAGGTGACATGGTGGTTCAAGACACTGGATTCCCACATGGCTGACTGTGGGATGAGACCTGGACCTGGCAACTTGCTTTCTCACTTTTCCTCTCTCTCTCTCTCTCTCTCTCTCTCTCTCTCTCTCTCGTCAAGTTAAATAAATGGATAGATAACTAAATAAATAGATAAATGCAGATAAATAAATAAATAAAAAGATAAATAGGTAGACAAATGGATGGATGGATAGATAAATGAATAGGTAGGTAGGTAGGTAGATAGATATATGATAAATAAATAAATAAATAAATAAATAAATAAATAAATAAATTTATTTAAATAAAATAATTCTTTAAAAAAAAAAAGTGCTGGGAGGGAAAGGGCTGTCATGCGCACTTGGATGATGTGAGGACCTCAGTGCGGCAGAGCCTACGAAGGACAGAAACAGCAGGTAAGTGAAGAGTAAGCCATGCTCTCCAAGGGCCACATCCTCTGGCTTGTTGGAAACTTTTCAAGAAAAGGCCAAAGTGAAGAAGAGTCTCTGATGAAGAATCATCCAGCTCTTCCAGACGCTCTACTCCTGTACTACAGCGAACCCGGTGAATTAGCCGCATCCTAAAGGGGCCCTCTGACAATGCCCTCTCTTAAGTACAGATCAAAACAGAAAAGACAGCTACTTGACATAACGCTTTGGTGGTTGTCTTTTTACCACTGACAATCCAGGTAGAGAGAAACTCACAGACATCGTGGTCTAATGGTGCTCAAACTTTCTCTGGCACATCCTGTTGAAAATACCTGTTTTTCCACAACACATGACAGGACAACAGGGCATACCTGGCACGTTAGCCATCCTGGGTTACACCTGGCTCTGCCACTTCCTGACTGTGTCACTTGGAACACAAGCTGCCTGGGGATTAGGAGACCCCGCCCTATAATTAATCACTCCCTGGGTGATCTTGGACACTCATAACTTTGTGAGTTCTTCCTGCAAATTAAGAGGGCTGGTCACCCAGTTAATCTCTTGATTATTTTAGACTAGCTGTCCATATCTTTTTTACTTGTCCATATATATTTTTTAAAGAATTATTTAACTTCATTCATTCATTTTAAATTGACCAGAGAGGAACACAGAAAAAAAGTAAGAAAGCAACCACCAGGTCTGAGTCTCAAACCACGGTTGGCCATGTGGGAGTCCAGCATCCGTAACCACCACACCACCTACCAGCCCATCATTCACCCATATTTAAGTATAAAATGTCTTTTAAGTACTGTTCACCAAAGGAAAGAATAAAAGCTTCAGGTTAGCACTGGCTTCTTCCCTGCACTTCCCATGTCTATTCCTCCACATCCTGAACATCCAAAATAAATATCATCCATAGCTACCCGTGTGATGCTCTTTCATTTGGCTCCTTCCTAATTAGCAATTATCAAAAATATTTACAATTGTAAAGAGCCTAGTGGATCAGCAAATTCAATCCCTTCATTTTAAGGGCAAAGAAAACAAGGCCAATTTATTGTGACCTGTTCCAAATAATACATTGATTAATTTACTTACTACGTGCTAAAGAGAGCACATATTTTTATCGTACTTTTTCAAAGTGACCAAGAGAGGGTAAGTGAATTGTGAAGAAATTCCTGAAAATAAGAGGGATAGAACTAGAATTCGAGGGCTCATTTTATGGCTGTCATAAGAGAGACTATAATGGGAACCAGCAGGTAGGGTAGTGGTTACATCACTGGACTCTCATGTGGTTGACCACGGTTCAAGGCCTGGACCCAGCGACTTGACCGTCATGCCAGGTGTGTGTGTGTGTGTGTATGTGTGTGTGTATGTGTGTGTGTGCGCGTGCTCAAGATCCTGAGAGGAGAATGGAAAGGGACTGTGGTATGGCCATCCCCTCATGGGGTGATTTCTTGCTTTCTGTCTCTGTCTTTCTGGCAATCACACGAGCCTTATAACAAAAACCTCTCTCAGAAAAAAAAAAAGACAAACTATAATGTATATTTAACAGAAATTATTTTAAAATGCAGGCCCCTTGAAGATAGTGTCTTTGTTGCTTTGTTCACTAAAGTATTCCATATGCCTGGCACAGAGCAGGCCTCACTAGAATTGCTAAGTGAATGTGTATTTATAAAACCCAGCTACCGGGGGAACCAGTAATGGCTATGTTGCTGGACTCCCACGTAGTCGACCGCGGTTCGCGTCCCGGACCCAGTGGCTTAAAACTCACGCCGGGCACGTGTGCGTGCGTGCCCAAGATCCCGAGAGGAGAATGGAGGAGAAGGGATTGCAGCGTGACCATCCCCCCTGGGGGGTGATTTCTCGCTTTCTGTCTCTATGTCTCTCTCTGTCTGTCTGGCGAGCGCACGCGCCCTACAGTGAAAATCTCTCCAAAAAAAAAAAAAAAAATCACCAGCTACCGGGGCAGGCAGGTGGTGTGGTGGCTGAGTTGGCTGGACTCTCACGTGGCCAACCGCAGTTCGAGTCTCAGACCTGGCAGCTTGTTTTCTCACTTTTCCTCTCTCTCTGGTCAACCTTTATAAAAGGAAAATAAAATAATGACAATGAATAAAACTAGAAACACAGCTATCCATTTATGCTCTACCTCCAACTGCTTACCCTTGGCTCTACATTCACAAGAAAGAAGTGTGTTTACCCTAAATCTTTCCTCTTCAGTTACTGTCATGTAAGATTCACAAATCATTTTATTCATCAATAAATAGATACGTTCTTATACGAGAGGTAACGGAAAGTCAAGTTACATTTTTTTCACCAAATTTTAGCTCAGAAATACTTCAAAAGTTATGAAAAGCAGAAGAAATATAAATCAACACGAGCGTTAGTGTTGTTTGCTATCGCGGCCATTTTTGGTTTCTTTTCCTAAGAACAAACGATTTCCACCATTTACCATCCTAAATTGACAAAATAACGAAATCAGCCAAATAAAAACAGGCATTTAAGAATCAACACAAGTAAAGCAGATTACAGTTCATTCTGTCTTTGCTTACTTTTTGTCAGTATCTGGAGGTCTTCCACAGAGGGAGGTCCATTTTTCTTCTCATAAGGAATGACTGTTGTCAAATACTGCCAGTTTTTAAAAAAAAAAAAAAAAAAAAAGTATCACTGAAATCTGAATTAGTTGTCTATAAGAAGGTCTACCATACCATGAAACAGAAGTTTCTCTAGCAATACAAACACAGGTATGTGCAGGAATAAAGGTATCTTATTACTACAGCTGGAATTCCTTTTTTTGCCTACTTCTATCCATTTCATGCAAGCTGGTATAAACCTTTTTTTTTTTTTTTTTTTGCTTTTCAATTACTGAAAATCTCACAGCGCTAGATCTGAGGATGATGTGCTCAATTTGCTCATTTTTAAAATGAAGTCTTATCTAACATTCTTCTTACACATTCACCAGTTCAACCTTTTAAAAAACAGTAGTTTAAGCTAAAAACTAAAGTTGCATGGTTTTAACATCTCTGCACAACAAAATAGCTTCCAACGGCCAAATAATTCTGTTTCAGACCATTTAATTCTGGTTGAACAAAATGGTCGATATTGAGCATGACAACTTTAAAACACACATACCAGCTTCTGCCAGAAGCCATACTTACCCCCCCAAAATTCTGGAGGTGTATTATTTTAAATTACTGTGTGAGTAATTATAAATATTGTTAGGAATTAAAGGAGAAAAGCGAAAGGAAAGAATGGCCTGAGGGGAAATGAATACTCAAAATTAACGTCTGTGATTGAGACGCGCGGCCTAGAGTTCACGACTCGTGAAGGCTCAAGTGTACCAGACTCAGGTTCTTTCACTACCCTATGAAAGCATCCGCTAAAAATGGTCACCCAGATTCTCCTATTCTGACGACTCCACCAAAAAAGAGTGTAGTTTGGTACAGTTGGCAGATGCTCATAGAGAAAACTACCAAGTTGTTTACCTGGAATCTCAATTCCCATCCTCTATGTGGCCCCATGCCCTGAATCTCAGCTCTGCTTTTAATCCTGAGTGATCTTATCCCACCCATGATTGAAAAACAAGATAAAGAAACTATAACTGGACCCCGAGGTCCAGAAGAGCAGTAAGAGTGAATTACTGAATTCATTAAATTATTGAATCACTAAGAAATTTAGTGGCCTACCTTTCTTTTGTATATATTTCTCCAAGGAGATGATCAATTGTATTGGACTGTTGGAAAAGTTATGCCACATCTTTGCATAGAAAAACATAGAATAAAATATGTCATGACTTTTCCGACAACTCAATACAATGGAACACTTTTCTGTGTAAAGAGCACACACACAAAAACCCAATGGGAATATGCCCCCCTGGGGCTTCCTTTGCAAAATGTGTGTCAGGCAATGTGCAGAAGCAACAGCAAGCTGTGGCTGGGCGTGTGAGTTGGCATCCTACGCGTGTGGGCGCCCGTCTCACCCTCACGGTCAGGGTCAGTCTGCAAGTCACTCTGCCATCTTGCAGGCTGAGACAGGTGAGAGGTAGCACAATAAAAACAAAAATTCAACCATCCCTTCACAGAGCCCTGTTGTGAATTTCTAAATGTCCATGTGAACCTTCCCTGTTTGACATTCCCTTCTTGAGTAATAGCCCACGTCCCTTCAGTAAAACTCCCGGCATTTGACCTGGGCACTCTATCAACTGCCTACAGGCTATTTTCTGTGCACTTTCTTAATCTCCACTGAAGAGCTAACCAAGAGTTTCCTTTTTTGAAGAGAAGATGTCAAATGAGGAAGGGCAATTTTAAGTACACATCAATGCAGATGTGTTTCTATGTTGGTGATATTCCTCAAGCCATTGTATAATGATGTAAATAAAAAGCAAATTGCTATTCGTTTGACTGTATATTCCCACCTGTGTATGAGTTTGTATAAAGTCTTGTGCCTCATTTGGCAGACAGCTGAATACACCTTAAAAACACGTGAGTTTCATTTAAAAGAGGCAAGATATACTCTACATATTAAGGTCATCGGGAAAGTCATGACGTATTTCCCTGTTTTTCTACGCAAAAATGCATCACGACCTTCCCAATGACCCAGTATTTTTGACCTAGGGCTCTGGTCTCAAAGATACCAACATGTGACTTTCTCCATCTAACAGTGAAATCTTGTTTCTTAGACATTTAACAGTAGAGTAGCATATTCTAGTTTAGTTATTTTCACAATCAGCTTTTCTACACATGCAAGTCATTATGTCAATATATTAATATCTATTTGTTTAAAGGTCAGGGTGAGAAATGGAGCTCTAAAACAGGTCTTAAGAGGGCATTTCCTCTATTGCCCAAATTGGAAAATGCTTTTCCCCCAAAGGGAAATTCTGTTCATTACCAAGACTATAAATATAATGAAGGTTCATTTCCCTCAGTTAAGCAATGGGCTTAGTAAATTAGTAAAACTGCAGGCTTTCAGGATTTCCGCTTACACAGAAAATGAAAGAAGAGAGTGAGGAAAATAAGGATAACTGAGCACCTGTTTCTCTCCACCTGAATTTCCAAAGGTGTGGCGGAGGCCATTCTGAATGACATTTGAGATCCCTTCCATGCTGAAGCGCTAAAGGCAGCAATACGGCCCGGAAGAAAGGGACAGAGAAAGAAGGTGAAAGACTATTAGTAAGAATGTACCATGATGACCTCCATGCCTGAGAGGCAAGCAGTTAGGAAATGCCACTACTCGTTCAAATAAAGCAGGCAAAATCATGCTGATTTTAAAATGTTTTTCTTCCATGTCTTTGTAAGTCAAGTGCAAAAGCAACTGCTTTTAAAAATCAACTATATTTAGGAAGACTAGTTTCCTGACTTAGCTGATAAACTTGGTACACTATATATAAGTGGTACACATTTGTTTTATGCAAAATTTACCCCATAATTTTTAAGATACCTTTGGATATTGTTTACCTACATTGTAACCAAAGTCTGAAAACTTAATACTCACAGTATGCATATTTGCAGCCTACATCCGTATATTTTCACCGTCAGTTGGGAGAACACGAACATAACATTTGGCAAGTTAAAATGCTGTTACTTGGAGCACTGATTATTGCTTCCCACTCACTTTTCAGGCCACCTGCCATTGTGTTAGTGCATAAAACGTGAATTTGGAAGATGGCATGTGCTTCCTGGAAAGCACAGTGGCTCCCATTTGCCAGCGAGCCCCCCCTCAAAGTCCTGCAAACTTTTCCACACCGTTTCTAGGAAACAATTCTAGCTTCTTTCTCCTAGCAACCTGCAAGACTTCCTAGAATTCATTCTCCTAAAAAGGGAGTATTTTTTCCAAAACGACTTATCTTGATTTGTAACCAGTCTATGAGGTCACCAGACACAGTGACAAGAGCCCATGGCACCTCCAAGGTGGCTGAGTCAACGCAGTTAGATGGATTCTTACAGCATGACTAATTAAGGGCAAAGGTATGGTGGAAAGGAAGTTAAGGCCTGATTCACCAGATGGCTCCTTTCCCTGGAATTGTGTAGGGCAAAGCTGAATCAGTAAATGCATCTGAAGAGCCAACATAAGGAATATTTTTGCCAGCCCAAAGGAGAAGCAAGGAAACCAAGGCAGTGACCTTTGCCCTTAGGAAATGTATAATAGTTTAATCCAATGGTTCTCAAAGTGTGATCCAGGGACTGCCCCCAAGAAGTGTCTGAAATCGTCCCCAGGATCCATAAAATCAAAAATATTTTCTTAATACTATTACGATGAGGGACTAGCAGTTGGCATAATGGCTAAGTCCCTGGACTCCCACGTAGTCGACCGCAGTTCGAGTCCTGGACCTGGTGGCTTAAACTCAAACCAGGCGCATGTGCATGTGTGCCCAAAATCCCAAGAGGAGAATGGAGGAGAAGGGATTACGGCATGGCCATCTCCCCTAGGGGGTAATTTCTCACTTTCTATCTCTCTTTTTCTTTCTAAAAACCTTCCCCCCCCAAAAAAAAAACACTAAGATGTAATGTATCCTTTTATTGTCATGCTCTCAAGACTTACAGTAAAATATTCTAAATGACATACTGAATACAGAAGCAAATCAGAGAATCTAGCTATCTTCAGGTATTAATGAGATGAGCAAAACGCACAGGAAACCATTTTTTTCTCACCAATCTCTTTAAATATATTTTGCATAAACATGTTATATAAGAATTCATAAATTTATCAGTGGAATTTTCAATGAATATTATGTTTTTTTATCTAATATAGTAAATACTGATCAATATAATCTACATAAAGTGAAATTCTCTAGTGTTCTCAATAAATTTTAACTCTATAAAGCAGCCCTGATGACAAAAAAGCTAAGAGGTGCCAAAGATTCCATCTTTTATTATTTGTTCATTTAAGGTTTTTGCCATAGGTCATGTGCACTCTCCAGAGAGAGAGACAAGAGAAGAAAAGTGAGAAATCACCCCTCCCAAGGTTGTGGCCACACCACAGTCCTCTCTCCTCCGCTCTCCTCCTGGGGTTTTGGGTATACACACGTGCCCAGTGTGATTTTTCAAGCAGCCAGGTCTGGGACTCGAACCACAGTTGGCCATGTGGGAGCCCAGTGTTTTAACCACTATCCCACCTGCTGGCCTCAGGTTCTATCCTTAAAGGAGATGACTACACATCTCTACATCAGTCACAAAATCCAATGGCATTATTGAAAATCTGAGTACCAAATTTCACCATCTTCTGGGACTCATGCAAAGATGCCTCTCCTCCTAAACCACCCTTCCTCCTTGCCCAGGTTTTTCCAGACCTGAAAATCAGTTTTATTTTTGCAAAAGTCAAATGTCCGAACAAGATGCTTCAACTGACCACTCTTTATTTTGCTAAGAGCATAACTATTACTTTTGATGAGACTAGTTTTTAAAAGAAACCTACGGGTAACTATTGGGTTGTCAGAAAAGACATAATGCACTTCTCCATGTTTTTCTACACAAAAATGCAAAATGACTTCTACATGACCCAGTATTAGGTCGTCAGGAAAGTCATGACACATTTGTGCACAGAAAAATATAGAAAAATACATCATGATTTTCCAACAACCTACATTTTTGTAGATTTTTCACATATCATCACATAATTCATTCATGTTTTTTAAATAGATTAAAAGATAGAACACCTTATGCCCAAGTCTACAGTAAAAATTATAAAAAGCTATTTTCAAATATACAAGTCAGTTTTTTATTAAACTTTCTGTCAAACGCATTTCCCTTCAAAAGCAACAACAAAAAAATACATTTTCTGTCTATATTCTAGGATCCCATTATCTATGGGCATGTTACAGCTATATATAAATTCATAGTCTCAAGCAGGATAAAAAGTTTTAGAATCCACATACCAGGAAATTAAGATACTTGAGGAGCCAGCAGGTGGCATGTGTGCCTAAGGCACTGGACTCCCACAGAGCTGACCAGGGTTTGAGTCCCAAACCCAGTGGCTTGCTTTCTCACTTGGCCTTTCTTTTTCTTTCTGTCTCACTTCGAATAAATTTATAATAATAATAAATAAATAAAATGAAATAACTCTTAAACAATTTGAACAGCACCATTTCAAAAACACCAGTATACTTTCCCAGTTAAAGACCTACTTCACATCACTGCAAAAAAAAAAAAAAAAGGTACAAATTTTCAAAATCACATGATACATATGTAATATAGCTTTTCCCTATGAAATGCGCAGTTGTGGACATTCCTAGGCCGTGCAAACTACTGGTAGAAGATGGCTTTCATGCAACCAGAACTCCGGGCCTAATGGAAATAAGTAAAAAATCAATCACAGCAAGTCAAGATAATGTGGAAAATACAAACAAGCAGCTAATGCTAGTTAAAGAAGTTAAAGGACGCCCCTGGAGCCTCTGCTCTGGCTGAGGGCTGTTGCATGAGGAGCTGTGGCCAGCAGGCCCACTGTGCATTCTCACCTTCCGCGAGCCCACAGGTGGGACCAGGGAGGCCA